ATAAAAAAAATAAATAAATAAACAATAAAAAAAAGAAAATTTTTCTTATTTTTTTTTTTCCTGTACGTAATAAACCTTCATCGATCATTCGAACCTTAACCTTTTTTATCACCTTTTTCTAAGTTTAAAAAATTATTATTATTATTTCATCTGCTAAAATTTTAAGTCGCGAAAAAGTTGTAGTTACAATTTATTTAAGTATAAATTTATTATTATTATTATTATTATTATTATTATTATTATTATTATACGTTTCCATCATCATTTTTCATAGGATTTATTTCCGGAAATGGAGTTTTTTATAAAAAAAAAATTTTCCTCCCGATCCGATGGGTATTTATAGCATATAAGAGAATTTTTTTTTTTTTTACCGTGGAAGAAGACAAAAATAAAAAATGGTTTTTTTTATTTTCCTAGGAAAATTCTTTCGACTGAATTTTGTTTCCAATTTTTCTCTCTCTCTCTCTCTCTCTCTCTTTCTCTTTTTTATAGTCATCTCACACTTGGTGCCAATCTGTTAACGACATCATTAAGAGTCCAAGATCGTAAAAAAAAATAAAATCAACTTCAAGGTTTTAATTTTTTTTAATTCTCATTAAATAATAATAATAATGATAATAAGGAAAAGAATAAGAAAGAAAAAAGAGAGAGAGAGAAAAAAAAAGGTATTACCGTTAAAAAAAAAAAAAAATCAATTAAATATTTGTGTCTGCATTTATCATTTTTACTATGTACAACCCCCCCCCCCTTAAAATTACTCCTTCTATAAAATTATAGAGCTTTAATTATTATTATTATTATTATTATCATTATTATTAATAAAAAATTAATAATTAATTTAAGTTAAATTTTTTTTGTATTTTTAGACGTGTATATTTCAAAGTTTAATAAATTTACTCTAATTACTAGTTTAGTTTACTAAAATTAATTTTTTTATTAATAATAATAATAATTGCAACAAACAAACAAACGAATGAACAAACAAACGAAACAAAAAAAATACGTTTTATTACCTTTGATTGATTAATTTTTTTTTTTTTTATTATTCGTTGTTATCCTCATAAATGTCATTTATAATAAATAAATAAATAAATAAAAAACATTTTTTTTTTTTGATAAAAATAATTTCAGGTATTATAGGTATTACCAGGTGAAAATAATCAAATCAACCTCTTTTTATAAAATAAAATAAAAATCCGAGGGGGCGAACGGTACGAACGTAACCCCAAACGCGTTCACGGGCTGACTAAAAGAAGGAGCTTTGAATCCCGCCGTTCTAGCCTTGCTCGGTTTTTTTTTTTTTTTTCCAGCAGAGCCCAGCCTTCCAAGGGTGACTTGCAAGGCAGCACCGATCAACAAAACTTTTCATTGCCTTCATTATCGCTTTTTCAACTTTTTTTTTTATTTTTATTATTATTATTATACGTAATCACCTTTTCCTTATTTATTTTTTGGACAAAATTTAGTAGGTACACGGAATTTGGGGGGGAGGGGTGAGGGGGAAGAAAGAGGAAGATGAATCGAAGAAGTACGAAAAAAAAAAAAACTTTTTTTAAACCAAAAACAAAAAATTATCACTTTATCATAAAAATTTTTGGTTTCCCCTCCTATCCTTTTCCCCAACTTTTCCCCCTCTCTTTCCGCCCCTCAAAAAAAATTATCATCGTTATTATTATTATTATTTTTAAATTTCGAACGGGAATAAAAAAAAAAAAAAAAAAAAAAAAACGTAATTAAAAAGTCTGTTAAACCATTAAATCCGAGCATAAAATAATTCAAAAATTATTATTATTATTATTTTGTACCCGCAAAGAAGCTTATTTTTTTTTTAAACTGGAAAGCAGCACATTCATTCCACCATCCACCAGGATGGACTCAAACCTTTTTCGATCCCTTTTTTTTTTTTTCTATCCTTCGGGATGTAATTTTTAATAAACGATCCCTAATTTTTTTTATATTTTTAAATATGATTTTCGACCCGTGGGTTTGATTTTCAATTTTTTTTTTTTTTTATACCGAATTTTCGATTTTTCCAAATCCCCTCTCTCTGTCCTCCTCCCCCCAAAAAAAAATGAAATTAGTGTAAATGACGATCGTCAAATCGAATAAGCAGAAGAAAAAAACGAGAAAAAAAAAAGAATTTTTTTTTGTTTTCATCCTTTAATTTATCGATATTATTATTATTATCATTATTAATTTTTTGTTATTATTTATGTACGTGTAAACGTATTTTATGTAAAACATAAAAAATACGAATTTAATAAAAATTATGTAACGAAAAAATAAATAAATAAATAAATAAACTTTTTTTTTTTAATTATTTACATCGCTTGAGGCCATTCAATTATCAACCGAAATAAAATAAAATTCTCATTCTCTCTCTCTCTCTCTTTCTCCCTCTTACTCTTTTCTTCTCTCTCTCTCTTTCACTCTTTCTCTTTTTGTCTCTCTTTTTTCCCTGACTAAAAATAATAAAGAATGACGATGAGGGATTATCATCATCATCATCATCATCATCCATTAAAATTATTTACCTAATTAAATAAAAATAAATAAATAAAATAAAAATAAAATTTATTTTATCGATCTATTAATCGATTATTAATTTTAACTATCGATCGATATATCGAAACAATAAAAAAAATTTTTTTTTTTTCCCCCTAAAAACAAAAAATCAAAAATGATAAATGAAAGTTTGAATGAGAGAGAGAAAAGGGGGATTTCGGTCAATGGGGGAGAAGGAGGGGGAGACACGCGAAGGGAAGAATAATTACTTCGTAATAATAATAATAATAATTTAAGTAGTTGTTGATACGTAATAACATTTTTTATCATTTTTTTCTTTTTTTGTCCTTCCAATCTTTTTTTTTATCTCTCTCTCTGCCTTTGTTCTCTTTTTACTCTCTCTTTCTCTCTCTCTCGTAATTGACAGAAAGGATTTAAAAATATGAAGAGTAATAAATTGATGAAGTGGGAGAGAAAAGACGACGAGAGATGAGGAAGGAAATGTCGAATGAGCATGGGGGGTGAGGGGGAAAGGAAAAGATGAGGAGGTGGTGAAAAGGACGTTTATATTGACTTTTACTTTATAAAACTAGAATTTTATTTTTTCCTTTATTCCTCTCTCTCTGTCTCTTTGTCTCTTTCTCCTCATTTTCCTCCCACCTTTTTAACATTCATTTTGCTAATTATGCCATTTTTTTTTTTTTTTATTGAAAGCAGACAAAAAATTTTTTTTCTCTTTCTTCTTAGACAAAAGAAAGTAAATTATGAAAAAGTACAAAAAAAAAAAAATTTTTATTCCCGATTTTTCTAAATGAGATTTATCATTTAAAAATTATTATTTAAATTAATTGACGGACTCAAAGATCCGACCAATCAGAAAAAAGTATTTTAAAAATTAATTTTTTTCGTCATGAAAAATTCAAAAAAAAAAAAATGCACAAAAAGTTTTTTTCTGTTTTTTAAAAAAAAAAATTAAAATTAATTTGAATTTTTTCATCGATAAAAAAAAAATATTTTTTTTTCGTCTGCTTGATTGTTTTATTACGTAATAACAAATTATTATTATTATTATTATTATTATTATCATTTTTAAACATTATGTAAATAAATAAATAAATTATATAATTCCTCAATTATTTTTTTTCTTTTTTTTAACTAACTTTGCAAATTTTCACTCCAATAATTTTTTTTTATAGAGAAAAAAAAAATCCCAAATGATTTCATTTAAATTTATTAAAACTGTTTTTAAACCCCCCCCCCACCTCCCCCTTCCTACCTACCCCTAGAAAAAAAAATCGCAGTTTTCATTTACGCGACTTTATAAATATTTTTTTTTTGTTTTCATTATCATTTTTCTTCGATTTTTCATTTTGTTTTTTTTTTTTTTTTTTTTTTTTTGAAATGAGCCGGAAGTTAAATAAATAAAAACCGAATAAAATAAAAACGGGGGGCTGGCGCGGGGAGGGGGGGTTGGGGGCAACAAAACAAATTCGTTTAAACGTTTCGATACGTCAATAAAAATTTAATTTTTTTTTTCTTTTTATTTTCAGAGTGAGAAAGAGAGAGATAGAGGGAGAGAGAGAGAGAAATGGGGAAAGAGGGAGAAATAAAAAAAAGGGAGAGAGATTTTCCAAGCTTTTCCAAATAAATTTTCCATCAAGCTTAAATAATTAAATAAAATATATAAAACTCATTCATAAATAATAATAATTTTTTTTTTTTTTTTTATTAATTCCTATTTATACATATATATATTTATCATTTATAATCTCATTTACATGATAAATATTTAAAATTGAGTCAAATAATTCAATGTTAAATATTTTATCCTCTTCCACCATTTTATATATTCTCTTTCTTTCTCTTTCTCTATCTCTCTCTATCTCTCTCTTATTCCTACCTTTTTTTTTTTTTTTTTTTACTCCAAGTTAAAATATTTTAAGATTAACATTTTGTAAACTCAAATTGATTTAATTAATTAATTAATTAATGAAAATATTTAAATAAAATAAAATCAAATGATCTCTCTCTCTCTCTCTCTCTCTCTCTCTCTATTACCTTTTTAAAAAATTAAATTCTTTTTTTTTTTTTTGTTAAATGTTTTCTTTTTTCTAGCGGCATAGAAATTATTTAAATTTTCATCGGATAAAAAAAAAAAAAAATGATCATTCATTCGTTATTTGTTATTAATCAATGAAATTAATTTAAATAAAATCTTTTATGATGTCAATGTTAAATCTTTATTTATTTTTTCCATAGGTTTAATTATTAATAAATTTATTACAGAAACCTGACTTTTTTTAAATTTTTTCGAAAAAATAATTTCTATACACATATATATGTATAATATTTAATTATATTGAAATTTAGTCACTTATAGTAAACAATGTTATCGAAATACATTAAATCGATAAATTCATCATTTTTTCAATAACTAATAAATAATGTATGTATGTATCCAAGAAATAAGTTAAATAAGAAAACTTCATTGAAGTTTATTTATTTAAATAATTTGCTTCTAAAAAATACTTGATTGTATGTATAAATTATAAAAACGGATTTTAACTTTACCTCATAATAAATTGTTCGTTTTTATCGAAAAAAAAAAAAATTTTTAATATTATATCTGAATTAAAATTATTTTATTATATGATTCAAACTAAACACTATATATATATATATATATACCTTTTACTATTTTATATAAAATTAATATTCTGGAAACTTATCTTTACACATTTCTTTTTGTTTCCTTATAAAATCAATTTGAGGATCATCTCCTCTGACAACTGCAAAAAAAAAAGAAAAAAGAAAGAAGAAAAAAAAAATTGTATAATAAAACCTTTGGAATTATTAAAAAAAATTAAAAAATTTTTCATTGATTAATCTTAATAATAATAATAATTAAATTAAAATTTTATTCCGCAGTAAGTGTTAATTTTGTTTAAAAAATTTTTTGTAATCTTACCCCAATATCTGTTTTTAAATTTTGCTATGGCATCATGTCTTGAATTATCTTTGTGAAGGTAATAACGTGATAGTGCTAATGTAGGAGAAATAAAGAGAAATGTTACAATTGCCAATGCAGCAACAGGCTTATTCGCTATTAGATATTTAAATTTGAAACTCCCTGTAATAAAGAGAAAAAAAATTTTTTTTTTTTTTTTGAAATAATACAAATGCAATTTACATTTATTTAAATTTAATGTATGTTATAGTTCACTTATACCGTTGGAATTACCTTGCACATCGCTTTTTTTTAAATTTAAATATGTATCATAAACTTATTAACCTAGCACACAATTTCATATTTGCATAAAATAAAAATAAAAGAAATGATTTTATTAAATTTTTATATACTTACATGGCTTTCCTTCGTGTCTTCTCACGGACACCATATATTCAGGCTGGTAAATCCTCATTTTGAATTTTTTTTTAAGATTTACTCTACTCTAAATGATTGAAAAATAAAAATTAAACCTTGAAAAATCACAGAGTAAAAATATATAGAAAATTTTTAAAAATGGCGTACTAAATAAAAATACCACAGACTAAAAAATATTAATGATCCTTTTAATAAATTTTAGTTTTAAGTGAAAAGAAACAATTTAAAAATTAAATTATTTACGAATTTCATTTTAATTTATTTTAATATTTCACGTAATAAACTTACTCGAAATTACAATAAAAAATAAATATATGAAAACAAATCAACCATAGACATAATAAATAAATTTTACATTACCCAGAAAAAAAGAAAAAAATGATCAGCAATTTATTTTTAATTATTATAATATCTGTTCTTTTTCACATTATAAATATTATTGGAAAAATTTAAATTATTTTTTTTTTCAATTAATTTCTTATAAAAATAAAAATTAAAATTAAATAAATCAAAGAGATTGTTTTTTATTTTCTTATCTCACTTCCGGTTTTTCCTGTCATTTGTAATTTGTAAATAAACATAAATACTAAAACATATTTGTTTTTTTAAAATATGAACTCAAGTATTTGGTAATTGCATTTCTAACAATATGTAAATAAATTTTTATCGTGACTCTTTAACTCGACAATTACATATATACATATTTTTATTTAATTTGTATCGACTTATCGTTAATAAAAATGAGGTAAATGACAATTAAGCGTATTTTAATACATTCACACTTGAAAGATTATATTATTTTTATATAGATTTTTATATTTTCCCCCTTTTTCAAATCACTAATGATTTTTTATACAAATAATTATTAATATTTAATCGTATGATTCATAAAACAAAGTTATATTTTAATTTTAAAAGCAAACGATTCGTTTTTAAAATTAGGTTAATTATTATTATTATTGTAAATGTATTTGTGTAGGAACAGTCTGATTTGGCAACAGGCTTATAAAATTTAAGTAAAAATATTATTATTATATTTATATTATTGTAGCATCCCAAGACCACATTATCAGTCAGTAAATGGAGGTAAAAGAATGGCCACCAATAGAATGACAACACAAATTTTGCCTGCTTTGCCACAACATGACGACATTATAAAATTTATATTCGAATGTAAGTTTGATGTATTGAATAATTCAATTAAGAAAATTTTTGTAATCAATATTTTCTCTGTAAACTTTTTTTATATTTTTATTCGAAAGTATTAAAAAATACTAATAATAATTTCAATATTTTAGCTTGGAATAAAGTTAACAGAGAATTCAGCGAACAAAACCCAACAGTTACTTATTACGAAGAAAGGGAACCTAATCCAATACTTAAAGGTTTGCTTGTGATCATTCAATCCATTTGTCTATAAAACACATCCCTTTCACATCTTGTTCATCCTTTCACTTTCATTTTGTCATTAATTAATAAATTTTATTTTCATTCATGCAGATTTTGAACCTTTCGATTTGGAAGCTTGGTGGGGTAAGAGAGTAGTTCAAAACATTCAGGCAGCTTCTTCATCTTCATCATGAGGATTAAGAAAAAATATAAATTAACAGTTTTAAAGAAAAAACATCATTTTAAATGATTTTTTTTTTTTTTTTTTTTGTCATCGTTTTTAGTCTAATATGTTTCTTTGTTTTTTTTTTTTTTGTTCCTTTTATTTTATTATTATTATTATTATTATTATTATTATTATTATTATTATTATTACTCTTACTCTTACTCTTTTTTTTTTTAAATAAGCTCTCAGTATTAATTTGGCATTTTTATGTTGTACACTATGATTATTATTATTATTAAAATATTCAAAAACCGAGTATTTATTTTAAAAAAATTCAATTTTTTTTTTTTCTCTCCCTCCCTCCCTAATTTATAACTTTACAATTTTATATATAAAAAAATTTTAATCACGTGATTAATTAATTAATTATTTTATTTCTGACTATAACACAAATTTGTGTTGTTGTTTTTGTTTTTCCTTTTTAAAAAAAAATAATTTATTTATGGATTCGATATTCATTCATTGAAAATGAAAAATTTTTTTTTTTATATCACACTTTATTATTATTATTATTATTACGATTTAACGTTAAACAACAAATTTACACGATAATAATATAAATAATAATAATATTAATAATAATCTCAAATTTTTGTACATATATAATAATCATATTTAATATGTAAATTTAATAAATTTTTTTTTTTTTTATCTCTCTCTCACTCTCTTTCTGTATTGGAATAAAACGTATCGAATACTTCACACAGTATTATTATTATTATTATTATTAATTTTCTCAAATATTTTTAATTTTCCGTTTGATGTTTTATATTTATATATATATATATAAAAATTTATGTGAAATTGTATAAAATAAAATAATTTTTTTACGATTTCAATATGGCTGGTTTAATTAACTATTGTAAAATTTAATACGCGTTCAAAAATAAATAAATAAATAATAATAATAATTTTTATTCGGCAATTTTTTCAAATATATTTATTTATATATATATATTATTTCTGTGTTTGTATTTTATTTTATTTTTTTTTATGTACTCATTTTGTCGTTTGCTATAATTTAAAAAGGAAAAAATTTCATGTACACATAAATAATTTTTTTTCTTTTTTTTTTGTATAATATCTTTTGTGTTTTTTTTTTTTTTAATATAATAAATAATATTATTATTATTTCCCCTTTAAAAAAAAAAAACATTTTTTTTGCATTTTCTCTCCTCCTTCCCCCTCCCCCCGTTCGTCGTTAAATTTTTCATAGGAAAAAAAAAATGAAAAAAAAAAATTCGGAAACAAAAAAATTATTTAAATTTAAACGTGTCAAAAGAAAGAAAATAAGAAAAAGAAAAAAAAAAAAAATTATTTGTTTTCGTACGTAATTTATTATTATTATTATTATTAAATAAATTTCCGAAAGCAAAAGAAAAGAAAAGGGGAAAAAAAGGAAAAATTTTTTCTTAATTTTCTTTTTTTTTTTCTCTCACTCTCTCTCCGCACTTTTTTTTCCTTTTTCTTTTTTTTTTTGAAAAACTCGAGTTTTTTTTTTTTTTTTTTTTACGTTGCCGTGTGTCGTCATAATTAATATTATTATTATTATTATTATTTATATTATTATTATTTAAAGTTAATAATGGATTTAGATATTAAGTCGTATATTGATAAATACGTCGAAGCGGAAACAGCATCCGAAGATTCGGATTTGAGTTCGAGGAGCAACGCATCAAACGGAACAACAGAGGTATTCAATAATAATAATAATAATGATAATAATAATATCGTGATAAGAGATAAGAAAAAAAAAAAATTTTTGAATTTTCTTTTTGTCAACGTGTTTTAGGTTAATCATTTTTTAGAAGGTATAACCAAAGTGAAAAATTTAATACACGAATTGGAAAATAATTTTCGTGAAACGAACAACATAAGCAATCATTTAATGCTCAGATGCGTTCTTTTAAGAACGGAAAATCAAAATTTAATATTTAAAATCGATCAAAAAGAAAATTTAACCCGTGAGTTGTTTCATCAAATATAAGGGGTTGAGGGGGGGGGGCGGTGGGAGAGAAAGAAATAATAATAATAATTAATTTTTTTATACAGCTAAAAAACTAATGAGCAACAAACAATTGGATTCGAATATATTTAATCAATGCAAATCATCGAATAAATCCCTGAATAATAATAATAATAATAATAATATTAAAAAGAAAACAAAAATAAACGAAATGACAAAATCTATAAAAAAAAATGATAATAAATCCAAAGAGAAAAATTTATTTTTTTTACACGATTCCAATGAGGAAATCGACATCTTACATAAAACAATCGAAGATTTACATAAAAAATTACGCGAGAGAGAACAAAAAATAAATCATTTATCGAGGGAATGCATAAACGTTAAAACAAATCAACAAATTATGGTAATTTTTTATTTATTTATTTTTAATTTAATATTTTTGAGTGAGGGGGGCAGAGAAGGGGCGGGGGAGGAGGGGGGGACGATTCGTACAACCGACAACTACAACGACAACCTCAATTTTAAAAACAAGTTTTTTTTTAAATAGGAAAACGTATTTAAAAGTAAAATAAAAACTCTCGAAGAACAATTAAATAAAACACGTGAAACTCTCGAAGAATTTCAATACGAATCCGAATCGAACATAGAAAATAATTTATCGTCTACTGCTAATTCATACGAAGCATTATTCCTACAGGAAAAATTAAGATGTAGTAAATTAATGTATGAAAAATTAAAACTACAAAATGAAATTAAAAATTTACAAGATAAAATTAGAAGACATAAAATCAATCCTTGTCAAATCAATACCACCATTACTACTACTACTACGACGAGTAATAAAAAAATTAATAATAATAATTATAATAGTAATAATAACATTAATAATAATAGTAATTGTAATTATAATTATAATCATAATAATAATAATAATGTTAAAAATTATATAATTAATAAAATAATTAAAGAATCTACTGTATAAATTTCACGTTTTTTTTATACTAATTAAAATTTATTTTTTATTTATAATCTTATCCCCACCACTGCCACAACCTCCTACAGCATCCACACCGCTACCACCACCACCGTCACAACCTCCTACAGCATCCCCACCATCGCCACATCCTCCTACAGCATCCCTCCTTCCAAACCTCATCCCTGACATTGAATTAAACGAATCAAATATCGGAAAAAAAATCAAAATAAAATTCATACCCGTAAAAAAAAAAGTCGATGAATCGATCGATCGATCGATCGATAGATCGATACGAATAATAAAAAAAAACTCGTTCAACTAAAATATTATCATTATTATTATTAAAAAGTAGTAGCAAAAGTTGTTTTTTTTTTTTCTTTTTTTTTTTTATGGTCAATAAAACGAAAGTAAAGAGAAACCTCCTTCCTTTCTCCCCGCTTTACCGCCCCTTCCCTCCTCCCTCCTCCCCGAAAAAAAACGAGTTTTTAGTTTATTAATTTAATGGCAATAACGTTAAAATAATAATGATAATGATAATAATAAATGTAAAACTGGGCTCTTTGCTGAGGTGGCAAAAAAAAAAAAAAAAAATTTTATTTATTTATTAATTTATTTATAGGACGTAACATACTTTTTTTCTTTTATAAAAAAAAAATATCAAACAATAAATTTATTAATAACTCGTTTTAATAATAATAATAATTATCATTATTATCATCATCATCATCGCTACTATTATTATTAATAAAGAAGGGACCCGTCGTCAAACGAAAACAATAACAAAAACAAAACGGCCTTAACATACAAAAATACTTCAAAAATGGAAAAAAATAAATATTATCATTATTATCATTATTATTATTATTATTATTAATAGATTTTAAAACGTTTTCTTTTAAATCGGTTATTACGCGCACGCACTCACGCACTCACTCACAAAAATTTAATTTTAAATATATATATATGAGGTTAACGAACCTAAAAGGGGGAAAAGGTAACGAATGTGTGACGTCACATTTATATTCGCGTCGTGTACCTCATACGGGGTACTTAAAAATGGACACGTGGATATAAAAATTACGTAAATTTCACATGGAGATGATTTTTAAATGCAAAACGTTGCAAATTATTTTAATTGTTGAAAAGGTCAAAGTTCAAGTTATCTCGACTAAAAGTAATAAAATTTAAACAAATAAAAAAAATTACAATCGTTATTTGATTTTTTTTTTTTATAATTCCTAACGTTTAACTTATTAAATGAGGTTAATCGTTACGTTTTAATAAATAATAATAATAATAATAATAATAATAATAATAATTTATTTATTTATTATTAAATGTTTTACTTTTAAATAATTCAAATTCTATTGAAAACAGTAAAAGTTACGGTTAAAGTGAAAGAAGGAATGAAAAAAATTTTTTCCTGGAGAAAGAAAAGAAAGTTTTTTTTTTTTTTTTTTACGATTTCCATGGAAATAATTCCAGTGGGTACTCGGTGGGTAGTCGTAAATATATGAAAGTGTGTGAGAGAAAGAGAGAGAGAGAGAAAACTCGTTCTTCAAGTTATTTTTTGCGGTTTTTTTTTTTTTTCGGAATTATTGCAAAAATTCAATAGGGCGGCCATATTTTTTTTTGTTTTATTGTTTGTGCAATTGTAAAATTCTTTGATCGTTTTTCGAATTGATCAGGGTCATTGGTAATTTCTTACCTGTTGTAAAAAAAAAAAAAACAAAAAAATTCATTAATAATAATAATAATAATAATTAAAAATTAATTCCTAAAAATTAAAAAAAAAAAAAACCGAATTATAATATTTGAAAAAAAACTTTTTTTTAAAATTATAAATAATAATAAATTTAATTATTGACCACGTGGTTCGACGACCTGAAATCCAAGTAATCCGCTAAAATCCACGTCACAACTAAAAACAGCTGACAAATTATTATTAATTAAAGCTTACCTAATTAAAAAAAAAAAAAAAAATTAAAATTTATTTAACGACGAAAAAAACTTGAAAAAACAAGATTTTCAAGTACGAAAATACGATAGCCTAATCAAAAAAAACCTAAATCATCATCATCATCATCATCATTATCATCATCATTAAACGGATTTTTTTTTTAAACAAGCAACATAAAAAAGTTAAAAAAAAAATGACGTCAAAATCATCTGAATCCTATTTAAACTAATTAAAAACCCCGAGAGAAAGTCGAATACGAGCCTGTTTTCTTTTCCAGTTTTTTCGACTGGAACGTTTTTTTTTGGAGAGAGAAAGAAAGTAATAATAATGATGATGATAATATCCAACCGTAAACTTATCAATATGCTTAAATAATTAACAATAATAATAATAATAATAATAATAAATAAGGATACGAGTATTCAAATTAAAAAAAATTATTTATTCGCTTTAGCGATACGTGACGTCACTCACACGTGGATAAGAAGGGATATTCATTTAAAAGGTTTCCCATTATTCGCCCCCTCGTCGCTGCTCCCGCTCCTCCCTACACCCCTTTCCCCCTGAAAAAAAAAATTCTTATTTTCTATTTTTTTAACAATGATATATTTTTTTATTTAAATGAAATATAAATTTTCAAATGACCTTTGAATGAAAAGACAGAGAGAGAGAGAGAGTGAAAAAAAAAAAAATTTTCTTTCTCTTTCTTTCTCCCCGATACAAATTATATATTAATATCCCGCGTGTTATACATTTTATTACATATTATTATAATTATTATCATCATCATTTTCGAATTTTTTTTTTTTTTTTTAATAGTTTGTATTTATATTTATTCTCTTACATTATATATATTGTTATATTCGGTTCGTTCTTTATTTTTGTAAGTAATGAACAAGCACTTAAAACTATCACAAAACTAATATTAATAAACAAGAACTTATTACAGCTAGACTAAAAATCAAATGAACCGACGCCAAGCGGTGTAGCTTGCCTATATTACTTTGGTCTTTCGTCAGTCAACTGTTTCGAACGAGCAACAATGGGAACTAGCAAACACTTGCAAATAAAATAAAAGAAGGAGTCTTTAGAAGCTTCGCTTCTAAAGAAGAACAATTCGAGTTCGTCGCCAGTCTTTTGTTTATAAAAATTTGAAAATGTGAATATTGAGTACGGGATCATAACACCTCCCCCCTTAAGACGGAAAACAATTATTTGAAAAAGAATTTGTTTTCTCCTCTTGTTTGGATTTGACAGCTTCCTATGTCGGGTTCTGAATGGTTCCGTCCAGGTTGAAACTCCTTGAGTAGTAGTAGGTGCTATGTCTTCTGTAGGGTAGACTGTTGTATCTCTTCACATTGGCTTCTTATCAGGAACATAATTTTAAGCTTTATAGCTGCAAGT